GACCCTAGACTTTTATTTCCATCCGAACAAGGCGCTATTTGCAAAATTTAACGCTCGTTTGCGCAACGCCAGCGGAACGTTGGTCGCGCAACAATGGCGAGTCGTCATATTAGCGCGCCTGAAAAAGCAAAAGTCGCAGCGGGCAATTGGCAAGCGAGCTTTCGGTCGGGAGAGAGGCCGGCGAATCACGACTCGATCAATTAAAGCCAAGCCTCATTTGAATTTTTTGCCGCCGAAAACGCGAGGAATGCTCGCATGCCAGCGAGACGCTTGCCCAACACTGCGAGAATTCGTAGCGAGCAGTCGATAAGTCAGCGGCCTCTCTCTCACTCGTGTTCATCGGGATTTAACTATTACGAGATCGATCGATTGGCTGCTCTCGGCCGCTACCGCGCAGAATGTGATTTCGCTCGACGGTGTAACCGTTCTACAAAAAAGATTAGCCGCAACGACCAGCAGACACGCTTTGCATAACTCTTTATAAAGCGCCGAAAGGCACACACGATGCGCTCCTCGACGTGTACCGTTAATTGCTCTAATGGCCATAAATACATCGAGAGAGAGAGAGAGAGAGAGAGAGAGAGAGAGAGAGAGAGAATCTCCGGCGCGATGAAGAAATCAGGGGTACGTGTACTCATCCTGGGGTAATTAATAATAGAACTGGACGATCAGTGGCAGCTTGTCTTCGGGGAAAAAACGACGAGCCGCGACACGCGCTTGCGCAAATGCAAGGCAGTCCAATGGGCGCCGCTTCGCTCGCGCGCGATGATTTACGAGCGAGCCGAAAGCCACGTCGACGCCGCGCTTTTTCACGAGCCGTTTAGCCCGCAACAACTGCCTTTCCTTCGCGCACGACGCATTGCCGATCCTTCTTTCGCGATTGCGACAGTCGCGGTTTCGAGGCTCGTCGACGAAAGCCCGTCGGGTAGTGCCGCACGCTCGTCGCCCTGTAACGAGAGACTCTGGCCAGCCATCCCCAGTGGCGAAGATACCGATCGGAGGACGAGCGACAGCGGCGCTGGGCGCTCGAGTGCGAGCGAGGAGCTGCGCCGCTCGCATAATGGCGAGCGGTTGGCGCGGCGCTGAGCCGCGCGAGAGCTGGCATCGCTAAGCGAGTTCGTAGCCTCGATAAAGGATGCGAATAAAAAGAGCCGGCGAGCGGCGTCCTCGGCCGAGCGGCTCGCGCGCGCGCGGGACTTGATTAATCGTCGCGGCGCGCACTATGGAGAAAGAGAAGAGATCGAGGGAGATGGATAGGTACGAATGGCCGCGACGCGTAACCGAGGGAGGCATCGGCTAATGTTATGCAAAGTACACTTGGAGATTCGAGCTATTAAGGGATAATCGCGGCAGGCCCGGCCCGCGACTAGAGCCGGCTATTTATAGCTCGGCTCGGTTCTATCTGCGGCCGCGACGACGATCAATCGTGGCGCGTCCAGACCTCGGCCGGACTCCTCTGCGTTTGACCGCGAGCCGCGAGCCGCCGAACGACGACGCGACCGTCGCGCGACCGTCGCGCGACCGAGCGGCTCGCGGCAAGAAAGCTAGCCACGTAAACGCAGGCGCGCGACGCGTAACCGCCGAACGTGCGCACCCGAGATAAGAGATCCTTCCGTGCAGATTATCTTGGCCTTCGCCGTCACAGCGCAGCGAGCGCGCAGCGACGTATACGCGTGTATGCGTGCCGCGCGCTCGTCGTTACGCTTAGGACACGGCTGACCACCGCGCGCTCGCTTTTTTCTCCTTCTCTCTCGAATCCCTCGAAAAGTCTTGCCTCTATTCTGGAAGCACGCGATGGCTCGTTAGGACTCGCCGAAAGGAAAATGAAATCTCGGCCGCTAATTAGAACCTTCCGTACGGAGCGTTTTTTCTTCTCTTTCCTTTTTGTCTCGAAAGCCCGTTTTCTTTTTCTCGCCAAAGCCGCGCGAGACTTCGCGGAGCGATTTTCCGTTTTATGGAGAAGGAGGGGCAAACAAAGAGACGCTAATGAAACACCCGCGCGCGTGGATATGCGCTCGCTTGTAAATAGTTGACTGGATGGTTATTGAGTTTGAAAATAATTGTTAGTCTCGCATGGTTAATGACGCGAAGCTAAAGCTACGGCAACGAAAAAAACAGGCTTTAAAAATGCAAACAACTGCACGCTCCGCGTTCATTTTCTCCGCAGTTTATTGCGCAACGAGTGCGTAAAACTACAATTTAACCTGGGAAACGATCTCGTGCTTTTTTTTCTCTTTCTCGTTCCGTCGAGATGTCGGAAATAAATCGTTTGCATCTTTGCGCGCGTTCGCCGAACTCCGGCGCGATTGCAACGAAAAACGAAGAGCGACGAAGAGGAGAGGGAGGAAGGGTCCAATCAGCGGCGGCGACGGTGCTATAGACTTGACTTACATCACGCGAGGGCAATTGCGAGATGCGTACATCAGCGAGCGAGAGTTACTCGGGGGCCTTATTACGTAGTCTAACAGTTTTGCGCGTCGTCACGGAATCGTCATCACGAGCCGTGCAGCGCTGTGCTCGAGGCGTCGTCGCCGTTCCGCGCAGATTGCCACCCTGATGGACGTGTCTGTGTCCACTGACCTTTACGGAAGGTCGTCGCCGTCGTCCTCCACGTAGCTCTGCGACGCGCTTCCTTTTTTGGAACGATCGCTGCAAGGCGAGCCTCGGACATCAGCATATTCGGAGACTCTCGCGCGCGCCGAGCGACGATGGCGCGCTCTTCCGCGACTGGCGCCTCGAGTCCGCGCGCTCGCGTAATAATTGCGGAAAGCCCAAGGGGCCGCGCCGATGCTGCCGTCAATTGCACCCGACAAATGGCCTCCCTACATAGGCGAGCCTCGTTGTCGATGCGCGCGCGAGACGAACGCCCAATTTTGCATGTTTAGCGCGCGACTCGCGCAAAAAACCGACGCGGTAGGATGCGCCCCGACGTGCAACACAGCCGGCGCGTACGCGCTAAATTCAACCTGCAACCTGTTGCCTGGTTTCCACTTTATTTTTCTCCCCTTACCGCGTCGCTGTAGCAGGTGTTCGACCGAGAAAGAGAGAGAGAGAGAGAGAGAGAGAGAGAGAGAGAGAGAGAGAGAGAGAGAGAGGGTGAAGCCAGTTGGTAACGAAGGGCAGCGGCGAGGCTCCGTCGGCGACGGTGCGAAATGGACTCTGCCCAAAATAATAATAACGCGCGCGGCCGTGCAAAGAGACGCGCAGGAAAAATTATTCATCGGCGCTGCTTCCGGTGCAGTGGCGGCGCGGCCGCAGCTGCACCGGGCGAGCGCAAGGCGAGTCGCGCTGGCGGACGGAGGAAGAGCACGAGCCTGCGGGCAAAATCGACGTGGCGTACAGTCGGCGAGCGAGCGCGCGCCGCTCTGGCTCCATACGGCTCGCGGCGCGGCGGCTCGACTTCCCGTGGGAAGAGCGCGAGGCTACGCTGAATTCAGGCAGGAAACGCGCTGGAAATAAGCACTTGCTCGCAATTCAGCTCAGCGCTCGCCGCCGAGCGCTATCGCCTTCGACAAAGCGGCTTTTTAATTCCTCCGTCCCCCGCGCCGCTGCCGCCGCTGCCGCCCCCCCCCCCGGCCCCCACTCGTCCACGCTGCAATTTGCACGAGCGAGTGCGTCGTCGGCATTCCCACCGACTGATTTAATGACGATCCCTCTCCCCGCTTGCCGCGCTCTCTTGCGCCGCGGCCTCGCCGGGGAATATCGCGCGCGATCGATACGAGACGTTCTTTGACGAGCGACGCACGCGGTCGTGACGCCACTTTCGCCGCGGAACTCGCGGCCGCACCACAGTTCAGGCCTGATCGAAATACGTACGCGAATTTTCTGACTTTTCATTCGTTCAATTCCCTTTCAGTACCATTCGCTTTTAATGCTCGTAAAAGTTCCTAATGGATGCATGAAAAAGATAGGGGATACTTTGATTCCGCGCGTCGAGCCTCCGCTAATGCTTGAAAAACTTGCGATAATTGGGTAAACCAGTCCGCTGGGAAAAAGACACGCGTGTATCTTTAATTGCGACGTTATTTACGTTGACGTAGGAAAGTTGAAGCTGCTAAAAATATATTTACGACGCCATTACCCTCCTATATTTAGCCGTCAAACAATATATGCAAAAGTGAATTTGGTCGAGCAGAGGCTGTAAAGTCGTCGGCTAGTATAGTGCCCTCGGGTTATAAAGACGCAGCGGTAGCGCGATGCTCTTTCCTAAGTGCACACACACACACATACATTTGCGCTAGCGCGCGCGCCTGGCAAGATAACAAATGACTTTGCCGGATTTTCCGGTTTCCGAGGTGGCGTCATCGTCGGCGCGCGAAACGCATCGCCGTCCTGTCGCTGGCCGCGCGGATAACAGTATTTATACACTACATTTTCGAGATTCCATGCGCGAGTGACGCAACGCTGCGCGAGAATGCCGTGCACAAAGTGTACGGTGGAAGCCGACGAGAGCACCGCCAGAGCTCGACACGCTTTATCATTAATTCGTGCGCGCGAGTTAACTTTTGCGCAATTCCCGCCGCGGCTGCTGCTGCTGCTGCTGCTGCTGCTGCTGCTGCTGCTGCTGCTACTGAGGGTAGCCGGGCTGTCAGTCTCCCGAGCCCTCGGCTCGCGCGAGCGACTCACTTCGAAGCGCTAATCGACAACGGCATTGTTATTCTATACCAGCACCTCATGATTTACCGTTTTTTTTTCTTCCAGAGCGCCTTTGACTATGGTCGCGCGCGAAACTGGGTTACGGAACCTTAGCGCGAGTCCGTCGTACGCCAGTTCGACGCCGAACTGGATTGGCGCGACGTTGGGCACGCGATTTCGACGATTGAAAAGCCGCCGGCTCAGCGTACACGGAAGGCGGCCCAGGTGTTAATGCCATTTATCGTCGCGTATTGTCAGCTCGTGCGAGATTTCGCATGTAAGCACGGTAGCCCAGTGTACAAAGTGCGCGCGTTAAACCTATAACGTCATATCTAACAGTTTACTTTTTTCTTTCTTTGTTCCAGGGCCGAGATCTCGCGACTGTCAACAAGTGAGTAAGCCTAGAGCGAATTTGGCATAACTATTAAGTCTACCTGCGTAAATGCAAGTTTTTCATACTACATCGGCTCTTTTTTCCATCGTCGTTCCGCGGTCCGTTCCTTATTATTAGTTATAAAACCAGCGATTATTCGATTTCGATCGACGACGGATGATCAACCCCAAATCTACAAACGGCATCGGTCCAACGACTAATTGGTGAAAACAAGTGCACGCGACGCACATCTCAATCAACTCAAGCAAGTCTGGCTCGCGCTGCGAAAACCGCAACGACAAATTTAACGATAGTAGATCGAAGCGTGTTGCGCGACGACAGCGGCGACGACGAAGACGACGACGATGGCGGCGGCGGCGGCGGCGGCGGCGGCGGCGGCGGCGGCGGCGGCGGCGGCGCTATAACAACGCAGCTGACCGTGAACTTGCGGCGGGCGAAAAAAGGGAGACCCGGCACTGCTGCGAGAGTGGTTAGGTTTGCAGCGAGTTCGGCGAAGCGCGTCGGTTCGCGCGCGGCCACGGCTTTTGGGGCGTTAACTGGCGGCCAATAAAAGCCCAAGCTGGATTTTCGCTCGGTCGCTCGGTCGCTCGAGAGAGCTGCGGAGAAGCCGTTAATTGGCGTCGAAATGAAAAATGGCGTGACGAGCAGCAGCGGCAGTGGCAGCCGTTACAGCGTGACCAAGCCAGAAAGCCGACACTCGCGTTACGCCAACCAGCGGCCAGTTACGCGCGCGCGACTCGTTATTTTGGCCGCGGCCTTTCCGAGCGGATTTTCGAACTCTCGCGCACCTCGCTTTCTTCTGCACCGGCGCGTTTGCCTATGGCATCGGCCATTTACGCAGCGGCAGCTGTTTCGCGCGAAAGTGAAAGGGAACGAGTATTCAATGCTACTGACAGATTTAAAAAAAAACGCGCGCAAAATGATAAGCTTGAAAAATCGCCCTTTATTTTCTGTTCTCGTAATAACAATTCATTATACTCGCATGTGTGCTATATAATCAGTAGGTACTTAAGTATCCTTCGGAAACTGAAGCCCGAAAGAGAAAATAGAAAACGACTAAAAGGTGTATTCATCTAACAAACGACCTCGTAGCTTCGGCCTTCCCATCGGCGAAACCTCAGAAACCGAAGATCCTCTCTCGTAACGATGATGCCCATATGCCGCGCGCACACGAATACAGGTATACGTGATGCGTCCACAGGTGCGTGACGCTTATAATACTCGCGCGGACTCGCTGGCACGTGAAAAAAAGAGCAGAGAGTTACGCGCGCGTACGAGCGTGCGCGGCGTGAAACCTTGTCAACTCGGATGAGCGGCTCGTGAAAAAAGAGGGTCGAGCTCGGGAGCGCGGCACAGGAATTTCCGGTTCTGAGAAACTTTCGGCAATCGAGAGCCCCGACGGGGTCAAAGACTCGGCGCGGAGGCGCGGCGGCGCGGCGGCGCGGCGGCGCGTAGGTGCCGCTCACGCCGGAGCCTCCTCCCGTTTATACGTCTCCGATCGGATTAAACGCTCGCTCGGGCCGATTTATTTATCGGGCCGTGTGCTACGACGACGGCCACTGCTCCGCGGTGGGTCCCCACTCGTCATCCCGAGCGCGATCACGCGATTGCTCATTTTTCGGGGCCTTGCGAACCCTTCGCTCGCCCGCCCTCGCCCGCCCTCGCCCGCGCTCGCGCTGCCCGCATTCAGCGACAGTCGGCTCGATCGCCGAGATCTTTTGTCTTCTTTCTCTTTTTCTTCAAATTGAATTTCAATAAAATTGGTTTCGCCTGGCTAGTAAATTATGGGCGGACGGGCGCGTTTAATTTGAAGGCAGAAATCGATAGGTCTGCGCGATCGCGTGTCTCAAATTCCAGGATTCGCTGGCTCGCTCCTCTTTATTATCGCTTGGAGAACTTCTCGCGAAGCCGCCGTCCGAAGCAACTTCGAGGCTCCGGAAAAAGCTCTCCGCGCGAATAATAATTATCGTCCGCGCGACTTGACTTTCCAAGCAGGTAAGCTTGCGCGCGCCCGCCATGAATATGCAGAGGAGACCGAAGAAATGTACGAATGGAGTCGTACGCGGGACAGGAATCATTACAAATCTCGGGAACATCCTCGCGGCGTTGGCGGCGGCGGTGGCTCTCGCATGAAAAGTAAAAAGGCAAGCGGGAGCATTACACCGGTGCCGTATGCATTAACACGCATATAGGAGTACCGAGCGCGGCCGATAACTCGAGACTTCCGACGATGGCTTGGTGCACGCGTATGAAATCCCACTGATTGATCGGTTGCAGCAGCAGCAGCAGCAGCAGCAGCAGCAGCAGTAGCAGCAGTTCTCTCTCGTACGGTAATGATAGCGGACGGAATCGCCCGAGCAGAAGATGAAAAAACAGAGGTGCTCGCGCGCTCGGCCCTTATTAAGGATGGCGTTTTTACGATTGGCCAGAGCGCGAGCGAACGAGGGGGGGGGGGTATCTATTATAACGGATCAAAGTAACGAGATCTATCGACGTGCCACGGGGAAGATAGATACGGACGTTTAATTTCGTTAAGAGAACTCTATTAACGGGCGATCCTTCCTTAATCGGGTTCACTTGATCGCCGCCGCGTCTTCTCTGTTTTCTCTCTCCCCAGTCCGTCCTTTGCACCGCGAATCTGCCCCGGGCTAGTCGCCGTTCATTATGGAGCAATTATCAGCAGGGAAGTTTGCCAGCTGCGCGCGAAGCCAGCGACAATTTCGAGGAAATGACGAGAAAGAGAGGTGGAAAGAGAAGCGGAGAAATTGTGGGAAATGCCAGGAACGAGGTGCTTTTAGTTTTTCAGCAAAGTTTTCTAACGACGCACGGCCGCGCTGTACAAACGACGCGATCGCCCGTCCGAGGGATAAAAACGATCGTCGAATCGAGGTGACGTCCCGCCATGCGCGGGGGGCGAGTCTCAACGACGAGAACGAAAAAAGCGCGTTCGTCGCCGGCGAAAGTTGTCGACGGCGAGGCTCGCTGAAAAATGCACGCGAGCAGAGCGCGCGGCAGCAGCGTCGGCTGCTCGTCAAATATTCAGCGTGCGAAGATGCAGGTCAGCTGGCTTTGCATCCGCCTGGAATTTCGCTCGGTAGCCTCACGAATAAATAAGCGGCGCAGGCGCGAACGCGAGCGAAGCGATGCCCTCGAAGTGCGAGGGCGCTCGCAAGGACGCTCGCCTCCTCTCTCTCTCTCTTTTTTTCGAGAGCGCCCGGTTCGTTGCTCGCTCGCGCGTTTCAATCGGCCGCCTCGACCCGCGACGCGAGGCCGCTGCCCTCGCAAACTCTACCTGGCACGCTGCGTGCCGACTCGCCCAATTTCTCGGCGCCTTCACTCGGTAACGACGGGCACGAGGCCGACCAGCCGGCTCCCGAGCTTTCGCGAGCTTCCGCGCGCGCTCGACTCTCCAATTACATACGAGCCTGTCGTCGGAGTGTGCCGCGGCTATTCTAATCTTCCGACGTACACGAGCACACGCGAGGCGAGCTGCTCGCTCGAGCCGCACACTTGACCGCCGGACAACGTAATGCTCGGCTCTCGGAAATATACAGCTTTCAACAACAAGTCCCATTCGGCTCTTGCGTTCGGGCTTTTGTTGGGCGGCGACGAATATTCATGCGACTGCGCGATATAATTGCTCGCCGGAGATAAAGAGAGGCAGAGACAGCCGTGCGCATACTGGAAATATCTGTTTAATCAGTCGACTGGCTACTAACGGCTTTATTCTCGACACTGCAATTACGACGTTAACGAGGTTGAAATTGGCCGTGCACGCGCTGCCTGCTCGGGATGGAAAAGCGCGTTTCACTTTGCTTTCCGTCGATCGGCCGCCGCGTCGTCTCCTCGGGTGGAGCGCGCTCGCGAACCGGCCCGGCCGCTCTCCGCGTTATTGGCTTTCAATTAGCAGGCACATCGACCGCGGCCGACGAGCCGAGCCGAGTGCCCGTTCTCCCGCGCGGCGGATCGCCGAGACGCGGCTCCGGCGGTCCATTGCGTCATCGCCTCGCGCGATTCGGCTCCGGCTCCGCTCGCCTCCTGCCGCGCCCGCGCCCGCGCCCCGTGCGAATTTCTGGCGCGACGACAAAGGGACAGAGAGCCGAGCTTGTTAAACGTCGTCGTGATGCGGAGCCGCTTATTATCCAGCGAGAGAGGCCGCAAGCCTGGACCCGCGTACTTGCGATGCGCGTAACGGTGCACGATATTCTCACCGAATGATACGTATATTTTTCGACTGCGACGTAAGCGCTTTTACCTTCTCTCTCGCTCGCTTCTGCTCTGCTCTCGTCGCGATCGGGCAGTTTTTTCTTTCTTTCCTTTCGCTCGGCGCTCGGGATCGCTTCCACGTAAAGTGTGCAGCCTTCACCAACGAAAAACGCTTTTTTCTCAGCCTCGCCGGGGATAAAGCTACTGGTGTTGTTATTATCGATAAGAAATCGTCGGCGAGCAATGGAAGGGGCATTTTGGACGTACTTTCCGGGAAGCTCGGTAATAAGCCTCCGGAACGGTATAAAAGTGCAAATACGACGAAATTGATCGTTAAGGCGTAATGGCAGATCGCGAGCTAATAATAATTAAAGTTATTACGGTAAATGATTATTACTCGAACGGACGCGCGCGCGCATATGCGCACAAGGGCCGTAGGATTCGACGAACGTTCTTTCGTTGTAGCAACGTGTCCGCTTGGGCAATGTCCGCGCGGCACCACGAGGAGAACTGCTCGAGTGCGGATTCATCGCGTGCTTTTCCAAATTCAAGGCAGCCGGCCCGACTTGGACGCTCGGCTTTGCTCTCGCGGGGAGTTGCCACGCCGCTGTTGGCTGCAGCCGCCTCGGCGGCGTCTCCGCGTCGCTCGTGCGCGAAAAAGAAGTTGTCGTCGGCGAGCGCGCGAGTTCTACGACCGCATTTCGGGACAACAGCGGCAGCGGCTCGCGTACGTAGCGCACGTACGCGTACGCGTAGCGCGCGCCAAGCAGATATAAAGAGTACAGAGCGAA